TCTCTGTAATATTTCAAAGATTAACTTAATAAAATGATTTAGAGTGTTAGAGGGAGGTTAAGTTCGAACCTCTCTTCTCTAACTCTCTCATTGCCGCTAGCTCTCTCTCTCTCTCAACTTCTTAATCTTCTTTTGTTCATTTTTCTGGTTTTGCATCTAATCTCAAGCAGTTCTATACTTCAAGAGGACTGTTTTCAACTTGGTATCAGAGCAAGTYAGAGCTGGGCGTGACCCTCATGTGGTTCTAGTCTAGCCAATTGCATGAGGATGTTCTAGGGCTGGAAGTTTAAAGTCATTTGCCTGGTTCTTGGAGGTCATTGGAGGGTGCCCAAGTCTCTACACACTTGGAGAATAGTTCGGTGACCAGGAAGAATTAGAGAGCAAGGTGTTCGGCCCATCTCCTCTACAGGTATATTTTGTGCTTATTGGTGTATACTTGAAGTGTTGCATGTAATTTGTTTTTTTGTCCACATCAAGTGGTATTAGGGCAACCTTGGGTTTGCTTCAAAGTTCATCTCCTTGTGTTTTGCTATATTATTATGGCTGCAAGGGGTGGACGTAGTAGGGGTGGTAGAAGAGCACAACATGTCACTGTAGAGGTTTTTCAAGAGGCTATAAGAGRACGACAAGAACAGATTGAGCATCTTGCTCAACTTGTAGCTCAAAATGCTGCTAGGGATGGTGACGTAGCAAGTGATTTGGGGCTAGGAAGAAGAAGACAAGCTCGTAGAGTTGATGAACAACCCACTAACATTATTAGTGAAGAATCAAGTGAAGACATTGAGCGACCTGAAGGTGATCAACATGAAAGGAATAACAACCAGTGGTGGGAAGACCGAATAGTGCAACCTTTACAATCCAATCAAGGTCATGGTGTTCAACTTCATATTAACGAGTTTGATGGTGAGTTGGAACTTGAAGAGTTTGTAGATTGGTTGGACAACATTGAAAATTATTTTGATTGGAAAGAAATGAATGAATAAAGAAAAGTGAAGCTTGTAACAACAAAGATGCGTAGGATAGCTTTGGATTAGTGGAAAAATTACCAAAGGGTAGAGAAAGGAAGGGGAAAAGAAAGGTTAGTTCTTGGGGAAGAATGAAAGAGAAGCTGAAATCCCAATTCTTACCACCAAATTATGAGCAAACTCTTTACCAAAAAGTGCAGAATTTAAGGCAACGGGAAAAGAGTATACAAGAGAGTTTAATAGATTAACTCTTTGGAATAATATGATAGAAATTGAATAATAAAAAGTTAGTAGATATATCAATGGTTTGGAGGTTGCCAATACAAGATCAAGTCAACCTACATTGCTTGTATAAAGTAAAGGATGCATATCATCTAGTTATGAAGGTTGAAACTCAATTGAGTCAGAGTTCAGGGCAGAAACTAAGTGTTGTCCAAGGTACAACTTCAGCAGTTGGTCGAAGTGTTGGGGCTGGTAGGAATCATGTGATCAACCACTACCAGGGGATTGGTTGAGAAAGAATATCTTTAGAACACGTACAACTGGTGGAAAGTTGTGTAATCTGATTATTGACTGTGAGAGTAGTGAGAATCTTGTTTCTCAAGAGATAGTGGACAAGGTGCACCTCAAGACTGTTCAACACCCCCGACCATATTGTATTTTGTAGTTCAACAAAGGAAATGAGGTAAGAGTTTCTTCTAAATGCTTAGTTAATTTCTCTACTAGTAATACATTTGAAGAATCGGTGTGGTGTGATGTTGTCCCAATGGCAATATGACTGTAAGACCATTCGTTATGGGGACAAGAACACATACAACTTTGTAAAAGACCAAAAGAAGATAACTCTTAAACCAATGCAACTTGATTCATTTCCAAAGAATGAAACTAAGCCAACCACTACCCTATTCACCTTAAACACKTATCTCAAGAAGATGGGAAATTGGATGATGTTTATGTGTTGGTTATGGAAGATGAGAAGAAGTTAGCAAAGAAACACTTGTTCTGGAGATAGTGAAGAAGCTATTTTATGAGTATGTTGTTGTGATGCTTGAGGAATTACCCAATGGCCTTCCTCCCCTAAGAGATGTACAATATCATATAGATTTAATGCCGGGAGCAGCATTGCCTAACTTATCCCACTATAGAATGAGTCCTAAGGAGCATGAGGAGCTCCAAAGACAAGTAATAGAGCTATTGAAGAAGGGGCTGATACGTGAGAGCTTAAGCCCATGTGTTGTACCAGCTTTGCTCACGCCAAAGAAAGATGGTAGCTGGCATATGTGTGTTGTTAGTCGTGCTATTAACAAGATTACAGTTAAGTACATGTTTCCCATACCTCGCCTTGATGTCATGTTAGACACATTGGCTGGTTCACAAGTCTTTTCAAAGAAAGAATTGAAGAGTGGATACCATCAAATTCGTATCCGAGAGGGGGATGAGTGGAAGACTGCATTCAAACTAAGGAAGGTCTTTGTGAATGGCTGGTTATGCCATTTGGGTTGTCAATTGTCCAATGCTCCTACCTTTATGAGGTTCATAAGCCAAGTTCTAAGGCCGTTTATGGGGAAGCTTGTGGTAGTTTATTTTGATGACATACTCATCCACAACAAAGATCATTACAACCACTTAGAACACTTGAGAGTAGTCTTACAAGTCTTTAGACAAAATATGCTATATATAAATTTGAAAAGTGTAATTTTATGATAGATTGGTTGGTGTTTTTGGGGTATGTTGTTTCATCCAATTGATAAAAAAAAAGTTGTTTCATCCAAGGATATTGAAGTGGATCAAGAAAGGTTCAAGCTATCGAAGAGTGGCCAACACCAAGGACCTTAACTGAAATTCGTAGTTTCCATGGGCTAGCAACATTTTATCGTCAATTTATAAAGAATTCCAGCACTATTGTGGCACCCATTATTGAATGTTTAAAAGGAGGTGAGTTTACTTGGACTCTCACATCTGAGAAAAGCTTCCAAGAGATAAAGATGAGGATGACCAATGCTTCGGTACTAGCTTTACCTGATTTTAACAAGCTCTTTGAATTTGATTGTGATGCATCACATGTTGTGATTGGAGCTGTCCTTGGCCAAGAAGGTTGTCTAGTTGCTTACTTTAGTGAGAAACTCAATTATGCTAGAAGGAGGTATTCCACTTATGATGTTGAGTTTTATGCCAAGAAGTTTGTGTTGTATTCAAACCATAAAGCATTGAAGCATCTTAACTCCTAGTAGAAGATAAAGGGAAGACATACTAAATGGGTTGATTTTCTACAAGAATATAATTTTGTTTTGAAGCATAAGGTTGGACAACAAAACCTGGTAGCCAATGCACTTAATAGGAGAGTTCACTTGGTGACCACAATGTCTACTAATGTTGTGGGATTCAGCTCCATCAAAGACCAATACCAAGATGACCCTTATTTTTGTAGAGGCTATGCAACATGTGACAAGGATATTCGAGCCAAGTTTGTGTGGAATGATGGTTACTTATTCATGGGCAATAGGTTATGTATTCCATCAGGATCTTCTAGCCAAGTCTACAAATGCATGTGTTTTACTATGTTGATAGGTGTCACAAGTGCCAAACATCAAAGGGGCAACATCAAAATACAACAGACCTCTTTGATTACCATGGAGATCTAGAACCAACAACAAAGGTTGGTCAAGGACAAGCACAAAGGGCCAGTGGTTCTAACGAGTTTGAACAAGTAGAGGGTATAGAAGATGTTCAAGTCACCGACACTCGAAATGGGGCCTATCTTAGGTTCTTGGTCAAGTGGAAAGGGAAACCAACAATTGAGAACTCTTGGATTAGTGAAGACTGAAGAGGAGTTTATGAAGCTAGATGGAAACATGTACAAGGCTGCTAAAATTGCTGCTTGTACGGGAATGATGAGGCCAAAAAAAAGAAAGAAAAAAGAAGAAAAAAAAAGAAAAAATGTGAATGTATTCTGTTTTGCATGTTTTTGGAGTAGGATCCCAAATTGTTGTTTCTAGGTAGTTTGTTGACAATTTGGGTCCAGGGGTATTTTCATCATTTTATAAATCAGATTCTGGTCAGGGGCAGTTGGGTGCACTGTTGGGTTTTGGTCTCTTGGGTCTTTTTGTAACAAAAGTTATCTTTTGGGGGTTCATTTGAAGTTAATTTTGTTCTTAAGGAGTTGCTTGTGAGGGGGAAACGTTCTAGGGGCTTATGTGTAAATATTTTAATTGGCTTCTCTCTTGTTTTAGCTGTAGCTCAGCCCAAGCTTGGGTATTCAAGTATTGGAAGCTTGGGTTTTGAGGAGCCGATCCATTTTGGCACCTTCCAATCCCTCTATCTCTGCGTGTCCACGTGGGAGGCCAGCTTGCTGCCATTGTTATTGTAGTGGAATTGTTCCAGGTAGAGTTTTACTTCAGGTTCAGGTCTGAAATCCCCAAAAATCCAACTTGTTTTGTTGTTTTCAGGTTGGTATTTCTTGTGCTTATTGTCGTATACTTGAAGTGCTGCATGTAATTTGTTTTTCTGTCTACATCACCCTCTTAATAATAAGATAATGTACATCAACAGTACCAATTTCTCTTTTAAGTTGTGAATGATGTGGTTTGGCATTTGGCAAGTATTATTTTCTCCAATGCATTTTACTCAATGTGTGATTGGCAAGCATTGTAAATGTTGGATACCTCAGATTTTTCCTTCAATTCTGTTAGCTGTTCTTTCTGCCTGAAGTTTTAAGACTTAAAAGTTTATTCTTCCCTTCTCAGGTTACATATGACACAAGTTGCTTTCTGGAGAAAAACAGAGATCTGTTGCATTTAGATTCTATTCAACTTTTGTCTTCTTGTACATGCCGACTCCCCCAGATATTTGCATCCAAGATGCTTACTCAATCTGAAAAACCAGTTGTTGGTCCTTTATATAAATCAGGGGGAGCAGATTCCCAAAAGCTAAGTGTTGCAATGAAATTCAAGGTAGTTGTTATATTTATAGCATATCAATTGTTATAAACATAAATACAATTATCGCAAACATGGTGATTGTTCTCTTTCTTATCTTTTCTTACTTTTGTTCTCTCTTTCTTCTCTTGTGCAATTTAATAAATATGGAAGAAAAAATAGTAAATAGTAGGAGGGTTGTGATGGTCTTTACCTTAGCAGGATGGTGCAGACTGTCTGTATGACCAATAATAGTATTGAGGCTTAATAGCTTCTATAAAACATGATTAATGATTCCAATGCATCAATGTTTTGCATATAGACGTACTCCCCATGTGCAAAGCCCAATGTGTTCCATGAATCTTATACTGGTAATCCAATCCAATAGTTTCAGAGTTGAAAGGACAGTCTAAGTTGTCCTTCTACAGATGCCTTCATAACCTATTGAACAAACAATATCTTGCTTTATATTTCTCAATGTAGAACCTGCAAACACCTGTACCATGTCTTAAAATAAGCATTACTCTTTAGAAAGTTACTACCACCTGTTATACCACTGATGTTCAGTGACTGTTATCATATCTACACCTCAATATAAAATGGGGATTTTGCTTATCTAGTTAGCTCTTCTTCATTGTTTTCCTACTTTTGTCATCTTCTTGTGTTTTCAGACCTTATTTTGTTCTTAGTTAGTTTTCGTTTCTTACTCTGCTTTTTCCTCTACTACAGAATAGTTATTCATTTTTCACTTGCACTTATAAATGGTAGATGCATCAAGAGCACTATGCCAGTCATATTTTGCACATCGGTGAACTTTTAGCCATCAGTTTTCTGTCTCCAGGTGCATGATTAAGACTCTCATACTAATAACCAATTCATTTAATTTTGATCTCTATAATAGGGTATAAAAAAAGTTCATACTAGATGTAATAACTCTTAGAATGATATGTTACCTCTTGGCAATTAATCCGATTGAAATATGAGGAAGTAGAGAAGAGAAGGGAAGAAGAGAGAAAAGGAGAAGAAAGAAAGGAAGAAGAAAAGGTTTGGAGCATTAGAACAGTGCTGGCGGTGCCAACTTCTATTATATTATATAGGGCGGCAGAAATAAGAAGGGAAAAGACCCTTGTGCCCCTGCTGTAAGTGAGTACAATAACAGAAATAACAGAAAATAAAAAAAACGCTTTAACTAGCCAAACAGACCCTAACACAAATAACTAAATTATTTCAACATTACCCATAACTCTTAGATTTGAATATTTGTCTCTAGATGGTCTCCCTCATCAGTAGAAAGTCTACTAAGATTTATAGATAATGGAAAGGGAATGCAGAAGTAGATGGATAGAAAGAAAAAATCTCGGTTCTTAGAATCAAAATATAGTAAAAAAATGAGAGAACACACAGCTTAACCAATGGAATTTCATGAGCTGCCTGGTTCACGTAACTAAAGTTTTCTCTAGGTTGAAGCTTGGCCTGGTTGGTGCTGGTCCTACAAACAACTTTAAGAAAGTTTACAAGAGAAAGGTTGCGAAGACTAAATTGTTGGAGTTAGTTGATCCTGGAGAGGGAGAAGTGATTTGTCATCCGATTTTAGCTCCACAGGAAGTTAACACTCAATGGCAAGCCAAGAATATTGAGGAAAGGAACGAAGTTGATGTGAGGATAGCTAGCACAATTTCATGAGAAAAAACGGAGAAGGTTGGGCCACGTATTGAGAAATTGTTGAAAAAATATTGAAGTTGGAAAAAAAACTTGTTCTTTTCTTTTTGGGAGGAGAGGAGTTTGCCAGAAAAGCCATTGAAAAGTTCGAGAGGAAGGAGGAGAGTCTGAAGAGAGATGTTGAGGAGCAAGGAGGAGAGGCTTGGAATGAAGCAGATGGGAGTGATGATGGGTTTGCAGAAGAGTAATGGTGGCCGGTTCATGTCCTGCCTGTTTTGTTTGCGTCTTTTATTGTGYCTGTAGTTTTGGGGCTAGGTGGAATGGGGTGTTTGGGTGTTAGGTTTTGAAGGTCTCTTTGTAGGTTGTTTTGAGTTGGAGTCATCTCTGTTTTGAGGTTTCCTCTTCTCTGTGGGTGACTGCTTGTCACCTCTCTCTTGTATGCTTTTTCTCTTTTAATAAATTTTGTTTTATTATAAAAAAAAAAAAAAAAACTGACACAATCCTCCTTCATCTGGGCTGGAGACCAGAGGTGTAAGACGAGTTCACACTGGCGGACTGAGATTTTACCATTGCACCAAAGAATTATTCTCAGTTTTTATATACACATTTTTTCTCTCATTTTATGACTTTCATAGCCATGTCATCAACTTGCCTTAGGTCTAACTAATGGTTGGGGCTTTGGGATTGGGCTTGATAGGAAACACCCTCTTTCTGGTTCTTATGTGGACTAAGTTTTAAAATGCCCCCATCTTGGGTCAGGCAGCAATCTATTGTGTACTGATAGCCCTTGTGGCTTTTCTTTTTCCTCCTTCCCCATTTCTATTGGAGAAGAAAAGATATTACTGCAATTATGTGATCAACCTTTTTCTTAATTCATAATTTTTATTTTTTTTAGATTACTATGTTGCCAACATCTTCTTGATAAGTAACTGAGTACTATAATATTTTTAGAAGATTTATAAGCATGTCTCATTGTGAAGCCCAAGATTCAATAGAAAATGAATGAATACGAGGCTGCCCAAGATCCTCAAGCTGATTACTTGTACAGAGATGTACAAAAGGCCCTTATGTCAGTAATGAAAAAGCATAATGACTCACAGCTTGAAACTCCTCCAGCAAGACCATCTAATAATGGAGATACCCGTCCTAAAATTCTGGGCACCACTTCATTTCTATTTGTCCTTTTAGCATTCTCTTTCCTATACAATAATCTGCTTTGAAGGTTCATATTAAAAACTTAAGCATTGGTGGTTTAAGCCTTTTTGAACAAAATTTAGTAGTTCCAAAGCAACAATTTGTTCTTGCCAAACTCCCATATTCATTGCATTCCAATAAACTGGTCCTTCTCATTTTTACTGTCTTTAAGAAACTATGAAGATTCAGAATGACATCATAAGTCCTTTCACAAAATTGCGGTTAATTTGTCATTATTTTTTCTTTAGGGTCAACTTTTCCAATTAATGCAACGGTTGGAGAATACAACACCACACTTCATACGCTGTATCAAGCCCAACAACTTGCAGCGTCCTGGAATTTATGAACAAGGTCTCATATTGCAGCAGCTAAGGTGTTGTGGAGTCCTAGAGGTGGTCCGAATATCAAGATCTGGTTATCCTACTAGGATGTCACACCAAAAGTTTGCAAGCAGGTAAAGATATATATAGATATGTAATAACACTCCCATAATTTGCATGGTTCTGAAGAACCTTTTTCCTCTTTCGTTTATACCCCATATCAGGTATGGTTTTCTTCTTCTGGAGAGTGTTGCCTCACAAGATCCACTCAGCGTTTCAGTTGCAATTCTTCACCAGTTCAATATTCTGCCAGAGATGTATCAAGTTGGCTATACAAAATTGTTTTTCCGAACTGGACAGGTAGGGAAAAATGCTTATATTTTATAACTTTACTAGAGATTTTGTATATTGACACAATAAATAAATTAATGAGGAGATATCAACTACATCTTCTCCTAGAGATAAATATTCATCATGTGTTGCACAAGTAGAGGCTTTGGTTTTTACAATTCAGTATGCTTACAATTTGAAGGGAAGAGTTATCATGTTCTTTTGGACATGACAGAAAAATTGTGGGAAGCTGTCCATCAAAAGAAAAWTGGACTCAAATGGTTAGGAGTGGGCAGGTCATTTATATACCTACTCTAGAGACTAGAATGAGAATTGCCTTTACTTCAAGAAAGTGGAAAATGCTGAGAAAATTATCTTTTGTGTTAAGCCCCTAAAGTAGTTTTACTAATGAGAAAATTATCTTTTGTATGCCTTCTTTCTGGAATAAACTTTATGCAACTATAACAATCTATAGATTGGTGCACTTGAGGATACAAGAAATCGTACTCTCCATGGCATTTTACGAGTTCAAAGCTGTTTCAGAGGTCACAAGGCTCGCATTTATCTCAAGGAACTTAGGAGTGGAATTGCCACTCTGCAATCATGTATTGTCTTCCTCTTGGAACTTCAATTATAGAAAATGTAGTGTAACAATAGTGAAAAAGTTCTTTTGGTTTTTCTATCATCATCTGGACAAGTAATATCTTGACTTTACCCATGCAGTTGTTCGTGGAGAGAAAGCCAGAAAGGAATATGTTATCTTACTACGAACTCATAGAGCTGCTGTGTTTATACAGAAGCTGGTAAAAGGCAGAACTGCTAGGAAAAAATTCATGAATGTTCGTGATGCATCAATAGTGATACAGTCAGGTAAAACTTTAATTTTCCTTTTAGGCCTGCCAATTGGTTTCATTAATTTAGCAAAGTAAACTATAATAGATTAATAGTCAATAGTTGCATTGTGGCTATAGTAGACAAACCACTTTCTTGTATGTGTAAACAACCCTAGATAATGGCTACTATCATATTATTTCAACCACTATAACTATTAATAATATTTTAACTTTGTTTTCTTTTGTCAAATCAAATATGGAATGTCATAGTCTAGTTATAGTTGTCAAAACAAATAGGATTGTAAAACCTCAACAGGTGTTCAAATTGAATCAAGTTCCAATGTGAATTATGAGATTTGATTCACATTGTTCAGGTAATAAAGAAGAATAATGAAGAAATGGAAAGTTCAATTGTACAGAAAATTTCATGTGTGTGTGTGTGAAATAATGAGGTAATAAGTATTTATGCTCTAGGCATCCATACGGGCTATGAAAATTAAGTTGGTTCTTTTTTCTCCCCTTTTTGAAAGAGTTCATAGGTGACTTAGATTTGTACAATCCCATCTACCCAGAAAAAGGAGAGGGATTACAGCCTGAAGTTGACTTGCAAATCTGGAAATATAAGAGAGCATACACCAACAAGTTGGGATCTCCTCCCAACAAAAACTGCCCCAACATGATCTGTGCCCACACATCTCACAATATGGCTGGGACTCACTGCACGAGATGTGTGGACACTGATCATGTTGGAATGTTTTTTTGTTGGGAGGAGATCCGGAYTCTACAACATCTGTGTTGATTGTAATTGCATAAAATTAGTAAATAAATTAGTATAATAATGTATATTTTATTATTGTAATTGCATAAAATTAAAATAAAAAATATTATATAGCACCTTGTACAAAAAAGCAGGCAGGTAAGTGAGATTACCCTCCATGGACACCTTGTTGCCTAGACAGTAGGCACATGTCTAGGTGTTGCCTTGACACCTATACCACCATTACAAATTTACAATATTGGATACAATTGTTATTCCAGTAATAATAATTGGCAGTACCACTGCCCTCATTATTTTTACTTTTTAAGCTTTGAGAATTTTCAGTTGATGTTTCAAAATCAAGCTCAGGAAAACAGGAAATTTTCTGCTTATTTATATGCTTGAGATGGTGTCTTTTGCAAAGTATGTTAGTGTATTTCATGATTTGTGTTAAATTCATCTTGCAGTTATTCGTGGCTGGCTAGTTAGAAGGTGTTCGGGTGATGTAACTTTGTTGAGTTCAACCCAGAAATTTGAAGGCACAAAGGTATTCTACAACACTAATATCTTAATCATATGAAATATCTTTCAAACACTCTGAGGATACTCAATACTCAAGTTCGGTTCTTCCATGCATATCCAAGTTAAATCCATGTTACAATGTCCATCTGATAAATTGCTTGTAGATTGTCTGAGAATTTCTAACTAAAAGAAAGGAAATGGCGGGTCCTTGTGTGTTGTTTCTAACTTTTAGCATGTGTATGCATAACTCTGTATTTGTGTAGATAATGAAGTAGCTATCAACTTTGTGTATGGAGGTCCTTTAACTTAAGTTCAACTGATTAAGATTGTCATGTAGCCACAAGGTTCATGCTTGTATGGCCAAGTTCTTGATCAAAGGAAAAGTACCAATCCTCCTGTCAAATATACTGCACTTAGAGTGTCTGAATCACWTTTCTTTGTGTTCAGATCAGAGTCTACATCTACACCTCCTCATCTGATCTACAGATGCCTTCTATTATATTATGACTTTCCAAAGTAATTATATATGTTGGATGTGTTTTCATCCAAGAAATAATGGAAAAATACGTGGAGAAGAGAGGAGAGGAGAAGAGGAAAAAGTGTTTAGGGAGCCAAAAGAATAGGCTGGTCGAATCCTTTCTTCTATTTATAATAGGGTGACAAAAATAAAATGGAGGAATTACAATAATGCCCCTGGCAGCACACTCTAATAAAACACAAGCAAAAGAGAATGCTGACAGCACAATAACAGTAACTGACACCATACTAACAGTAAACTAACAAAACTCCCTCTCAAGTTGGGCTGTTGGGAACCTATTAGCTGTTTTTGGACTTATGTAATTGTGGCTTGAAAGGTTGGGGATGACATTCCTATCATCAAATTGTATTAACTACTACTTTAATTAATTGGTGATTGAGTGAAAGGATGCAATGAAGGTGGAGACGGATGCCCTCATTAAAAATAATACATGGGAATTGGTGGATCAGTTGGAGGGGAAGAAACATGTTGGGTGCATATGAGTGTTTAATATGAAATACAACATTGATGGCCCAGTTGAAAGATATACAAGGCATAATTGGTTGCAAAGGGATAACCATAGACTTATGGTATTGGTTACATAGAAACCTTTGTATCAATTGCTAAGATGAACTCTTTTGGAGTATTTTTGTCCCTTGTTGCAAATTTCTTATGGCCATTGTTTTAGATGAATGTTAAAAATGTCTTTCTCAATAGTGATCGATTGAAGAAGGCTTTGTATGGTCTAAAGCATTCTCCAAAGCCATGGTTTGATAGATTTGGACTTGCCTTGGAGAAGTTTGGCTATGTGCAGGCCCAGTCAAACCACACTCTTTTTTATCAAGGTAGGTTCTTCCGTGACTCTCCTTGCAATGTATGTTGATGATATTGTGGTGACAGGCACCGACATTGGTGAGATTAGTTCTCTTAAGTAGTTACTTAACAAAGTGTTTGAAGTGAAAGGCCTGGATAATTTGTGCTATTTCTTGAGAATTGAAGTGGCTCAGTCCAAACATGGCATTTTTATCTCCCGAAGGAAATATGTCCTAGTTCAATTGGATGAAACTAGGAAATTAGGAGTTAAGCCTACTGATACACTTATTGAACAGAATGATAAGTGCAAAAGGTGGTGAGCCTCTTGAAGACAAAGCTATGTTTAAGTTAGTTGAAAAACTTTTTTATCTATGTCTGRCACAACTCAACATTGTTGTTAGTGTTGCCAATTAGTACATGCATTCTCCTAGAACATCCCATTTACTTGCAGTTGAGAAGATTCTTGCTTACTTGAAGAGATGTCTAAGCCAAGGCATACTCTTCAAAAATAATGGTCATATGAAAATAGAGGTGTACATAAATGTTGATTTGAATGGATGTGTTGATGATAGGAGGTCTCTACCTCATGGCATTGTGCCTTTATTTGAGGATCTTGTTTCAAGGAGTAAGAAATAGAACGTTGTTGCTTGTTCTAGTGCCAAGGCTGCGTTTAGGTCCATGGCCAATGATGTGGTTGAAGTATTATGGTTGAGATCCCTACATGAGGAGTTGGGCATTGAATTTGAAAGGCCCTTGATGCTATATTGTGATAACCAAGCCGTCATTAATATTGCTCATAATCCAATACAACATGATAGGACCAAACATATCGAGGTGGACTGACATTTTATCAGAGAAAGAGTTGCTTCCAAGACGTGTGCCGTCCCTATGTTGCTTCTGATATGCATCTTGTTGATCTCTTCACCATAGCTATTACAAAAATCAAGTTGAAAATGGATTTACACAAATTGGGAATGACAAATATCTATTCCCAACTTGAGGGGGAGCATAGAGACACAATACAATAGATTGGTGTGGTCCCTCCTTATGTTTATGTTATGTTTTATATTATTTATTGCTTGTTGTTATTGTTTTTCTGCTCTTATATGGGCAGCAGGAAGCAATGGATGAGCGCATTGTTTTCATCGCTTCGCTTCATTCCCTTTTCTTCTATTAACATAGCCTTGGCTCGCTCGTTCGCAGCACAATCTTCGATTTCCTTTCTTTACTTGGCTTTCGCTCCTCCCCTGTCCGCCTAGGCGACTACTCACCTGCCCGCTAGCAGTAACCACCAACAGACACAGGAACTCTTTCGGCCCCAGTCCGCTCTGCTCCTTGGGAACTCGCTTCTTCGGTTGATGARTTCGTTGATGAACGAGCTAGCTATCGATTGATGAACGTTTCTGAAYGAGCTCTTGTCTTCCCAGGTCCATGGTACCGTAATTATCCTCTTTCGTCGACTCTTGTGAATGGGTTAGCAGACTCTCCTCTTTTGAGTCTCRTGTGTCACTGATTTAGGTTTCCGATTCTGGTTAGTGTGAAGTCGTCTGCCTTGAACTGACTCTGATGGCTGAGCCAGGTATGCTTTCCGATTCTGTCTGTATCCTTTTGTCGGTGGCCCCATCTAGAGCTGGAAGAGAAGGGTCTCGCCCAGGTGGCTCCCGCAAGGTAACGACTTCAAACTCAAACAAAGAGCGTGTTTAAAATCAAGGCATGAGTCAAAGAAAATGCTGTATCTAATGCAAGACCCGTCGATAAGCTAAGGCTACGACATGAAGGAAGGCCAGAAGAACTACAGAACCACGCCCACCAGAGATAAAGGAGACCGAAGGGAGGAGTATTAGTGTCATTGTACTAATCTTTTGTTTGCCAACATATAAATACAAGTAGTGGGGCGGCAGTAACATAAGATACTGCACCCCTTTTTCTCTCTTTTCTCTGTGTTTCTTCTTCTCCTCTCTTCTGCTCTCTAGTTCTCTCTTTTCTTTATTTTTTCTTGCTGAAATCTGTACTGCAACAGGTTTGATTACCAACTATTTCAGCCAAGTGTTCTCCTGATCCCACCATCTATCATATTCAGCAGTTCCATTCTTGGGTTCTTTTACCTTCCCATTAATATATCCTGCTTTCCCTCTTGCAGTTACATAAAGATTTATTCCCTTAGATTAATTTAGATAATTCAGGACATTCAAGGGGGTGATCAGCATATAGAAGATCATGTTATCAGCCCTTATGCTAGTTGTTCCTTGTGATGTTGTAACCCTGGAAGAAGCAGACTCATCAGTGGCCATCAGAACAACACCAGAATGCCAAAAAAAGAAAGAGCTGAAAAATATAACTGGTCAAAATTCACCCCCAACACCTACAATCACAAATAGGGGCACAAAACATCAACTGAACTACTCAAAAGAGTCAATCGAACTGCTGAAATTAGACAACCATAGATGCAGAGTACTAGAACCGCAAGGTTTAATTGCTTTCAGTCCACATACACCATGCGACAATAAGAGTTGTGCATASCACCTATGTCCATATAGGTATGAAGGTACATGCCCAAGAAAAGAACTCACCTTTACTGCGTCAAACTATCACCACCTATTCTCCTTGGTTTTACGACCCAGAGAGAACAACAAAGAAGAAAAGAAGTACTGATTTGATCAGGCCAATAGCCAATTAGGCTATGTTTGGTTTGGAGGAAAAGGTAGGGAAAGGAAGGGAAAGACGGGGAAACCAATACAAGGTTTGTAAAGGTTTCCCTACCTTTCCCTTCCTTTCCCTACATTTTCCTTCAAACCAAACATAGCCTTAGGGATTCTTCACTCCACAGTTAAAAAAACAGAGAATTCTGGGTAAGAAAAGATATCTGAATGCTTATATTGCTTGCCCAATGATCAGCTGATACCATGTTTTCATCCAAGAAGTAATAGAAAACAAGGAGAGGAGAGAAGCAAAAAGTGTTTGGGGAGCCAAAAGAATAGGCTGGCGGCACCCTTTCTTCTATTCATAGTAGAGTGACAAAAAATAAAAGGAGGAATTACAATAATGCCCCTGGTGGCACACTCTAATAAAAAACAAATAAAGAGAATGCTGACACATTACTAACAGTAAACTAACTAACATCAAGATGCAAGAGCCATACTATTTTGGACTGAGCTCCAAGGCAGGATTGACATTGCATGTTCCTATGAGACAATCCATGAAGTGGCATAGGATTTGGGTCTAAATGTACTTTTCATAGTCCTGATGTGATGCCATTCTTTCATCTTTAGTTTCACTATTTATAAAATAACATTTCCTGGAATGCAAAGTATGCATGGCCAAGTTAATATTTGCTCTATGTTGCCTTCTCTTGTACGTTTTCAAATTGTTCACATTCATATTAACCTAGTTCACTTTTGCAAATAGGGTTCTGAACCAGATCAGGTGCTGGTAAAAGCATCAGTCCTTGCAGAGCTACAGCGCAGGGTTCTAAAGGCAGAGGCAGCTCTGCGGGAAAAGGAAGAAGAAAATGACATTCTCCACCAAAGGCTCCAGCAGTATGAAAGCAGGTGGTCTGAGTATGAGCTGAAGATGAAGTCCATGGAAGAAGTGTGGCAAAAACAGATGAGTTCCCTACAATCCAGCCTTTCCATTGCAAAGAAGAGCCTTGTAATTGATGATGCTGAAAGAAAGTCTGATGCCTCGGTTAATGCAACTGATGACAGAGAACATAACTGGGATCTTGGGAACAACAATAGCAAGGGCCAGGAGAACAACGGGTTGAGACCTGGGCCCCAAATCTTGGACAGAGAGATGAGTGCAGGTCTGAGTGTTATAAGCCGATTGGCAGAAGAATTTGAACAGCGGAGCCAGGTATTTGGTGATGATGCCAAATTTTTGGTGGAGGTGAAGTCAGGGCAGGCTGAGGCAAGTATAAATCCTGACAGAGAACTGAGAAGGTTAAAGCAGATATTTGAAGCTTGGAAGAAGGATTATGGGGCAAGACTGCGAGAGACAAAGGTAATCCTCCACAAACTTGGAAATGGGGCAGGAAGTGCAGAGAAGGGTAGGAAGAAATGGTGGGGAAGGAGAAACAGCTCAAGGATAAATTAGTTATTATTCTYAAGTTACAACTCTCTAGTGTCTATTTGATTACTTGTTTAGCCAATTTGTTTATGTTTAGAATTGGCTGAAAAGATCATTAATGTATTTTCGCTGCTTCAGCTGAAATATAAGAGGTCTTCGGTGCTTTTTCAGTCCCCAGAAGATCTAAATATGTAAAATGCCTTATCAAAATGCCACCTTTTTATTGGAAAAAGAAATACAAAATAAAAAATGATTAATAAAATTCAGAGTAATGATTGAATCACTTGCAGGTGAGTTGCTTCTAGTCTGACTATTTGATGTTGCCAAATGCCCACATTGGTGATCAGAAGATTCAGAACAGATCATATTGGGACATCATGCAGAACTTTGTAAGCATGTTTCTCCAAAGTTTCATGCAGTAATTGTAAACTTTGGCTGTCCAATAGACAGCGTATGCTGTTGAGAGCGTTTTTGAGCTGGACACATTCACCCATTTCGCCCATGTCTATCCTTTTGATAAAAAGGAAATAGGGGGCAATTATTATTTTATCCCACATTGTCTCTATCAATACATTGTCTGTCCAATAGACATCGATACATTGTCTCTCTATCAAAAAGTTGTATATGGTAATTTGAACTAGGTCACCTAGGGCCCAACACTTCAACCTTAAATGCAACTCTAGACCACTAAATCATACATCTTATGATAATAAATGAAGCAAAATGATTTTTATTAAATTCAGTGCCCGCATGCAATTCAAACAAGCAGCACATGTTTATGCTTAACGACTTCAATTAAAAACTTAAAAGAATAATATTCAAAACTACTATTATATAAACTAATAGAATAAATAATCTATCAAATCCATGTTTATATTAAAAGATGATTTTTAATATCAAGAAATTTATAAATAAAATATTAACAATAGAATAATTATTTTAATAATTAAAACTTATAAATTTTCACATGATATGCATCTTAAAAATTTTACATATTTTTATAAATTATTAATTGATATTTTAATTTAAATTGATGAATATTTATTATTTATAGAAAATAAACAATTGTTTACAAAATATTCAAGAATATAATATTAAATCGAATCTATCAAATCAACTAATCTACATTTATTTCAAAAATGTTTTTTTATTTTACAAATTTTATAAAAATTAAAGTATTAATAATGGAATAATTATTTTAGTAATTAAAATTTCTAGCTTTGCATATGAAGTGTATTTTAGAAATTTCAACAAATGTGATATACTTTAAGTTAAGATTATATATTTTTAGAAATCATTCATTGATATATTAATTTACATTTTAGAATTTAATATTTTAGTTGATTTTTTGTTAATGTTAAAAAATTAAAATAGTAAAATAAAAAATAATTGATATAATAATTAAAATATAGTAGGTGTATATGTTTAGTGTTTTGGACTCAGATTAATGCTAGACCTGTTCATGGGCTGGGCTTGGGCTTGGCTTTTATCAAAAGCCTAATAGGCTCAGCCTGTGAACAAGTATAATTGATGCATTATAAATAAAATTCATGATTTTTATGCATACCGGTATATTAATTGTAATATATTTTTTCATATATACCATTAAAATATACATTTCTTATGTGTTTATACATTATTTTGTGGCTATTTTGATCTTAAATTTAATATTATTAATGTATCTATGGAATTTGTATGTATTTTCCTAGTGTATCAATGCGCTTACATATTTTTTTTCTGTATTCATGCATTTCCAAAACGTGTCTATATTTGTATTCAAATTGTCCAATATGATACYTAATACCAATATTTTAAACATTGATAAAGATTGGGTTCATCGTAGCAATTGAACTGTCCTGGCCAACAATGGGTCAAGACAAAAGAACTAAAAAAAAGGCAATGTCTATAAGGCCATAATACAATCAGATTTATGTAACTCTAAATCCAAATCCGATATATCGAACTTGGATTGGATCCGCACTTAATTCAAATATGCTTTATAGTGTTTGAAATGAAGTTTTAAGTAGTTTTAATAATTTTACTTAGTTTTTAAATATTGAATTTATTAACTATAAACTTTGTATAATCATTTATATTTATGATATCAATAGACATAACAGTATACAATTAATGCATGCATATAAAACTTGCATAAAAATCTGACCATGTCTATTATTAAAAAAAATAAGATTACATGTATCTCTCGCTTTTCAGTGTTCTGGCCTTGCGGGTGTTGGTGTCTGTGCAAGGGAGGATTCTGGGAGAATTGTGTTGGTAAATGATTCTACTGGGTTTGATGCTGCCATTTCTCTTTAAAGGGTTTTTTCTTCAATGATTTTAACTTCTTTGGGGGGTTGGGATTGTTGTGGTTCAAACAACATGTTTCATTTCTCAATGGGATTGATGTGAATTTATTCCTGGCCAGTATCATTTCTCATGACATTGATTTGGGCTCTTGTGGCCAATGGTGGATTCCCTTTTTGTTTGTTCTATTTTCCATGAAAGCGATTGTGATGAAAGGTTTGTTGGAAGTACTCTTGATTTCATCTCAGTCACACTTAAATTGTTTTTTTTTTTTTTTTGTGTGGGCCTTGGCACTGCAACCTTTGTTTCCGTATGTCAGATGATTGCTGGACTCTGTTTGAAAAACGAATTGATGAAAGTGATAATAGGGCGGTATGTCCTGAGTGTGTTTTTGTGTTCAGGTGATGAAAGATGTTATTCTTCTTAAGGCTGATATTGGATCTGCAGTAGGTAGTTTCTAACTTTCAACAGCCTGTTATGAGTATTGGTTTCATAACAGCAAATCAAAGCGTGTTTCTTGAGTAGTTTACTCCCAATGCTCATGATTATCTCTTCTCAGTAAGATTGATATTGAGTTGTTTACTCCCACCGCTCATGATTATTCTATTCTTTCTCAATAAGATTAGTAAATAAGTGTGAATGCAAATATGTAAAGTGTAAAATGATTCATATAAATTGTAAAATTGGGTTAGTTTTGCACCAACATATTTACCTTCTTACCAAATAGACTTTTAGCTGTAATGAATGCAAACATGAATTTCAATATAACAAAAGCCCACTTGAATGCAAATTTACTTCTTTTTTATTGATGTACTTTTACATCTTATTATCAATGTAAATATGCACTGGTCTGTCATTTGTCAGTGCATAAATATAATGTTGTCAAACACAGACAAAAGTGAACCTGAGTGCAAATTTATCCTGAACCGGGATTTACACTCCATTTGCATCGTTTCCAAACACAGCCTTAATTTATGAATTTTTGCCTCTAAGGCTCAAAAAAAAAAAAAAAAAAACACAGAAGAAAAAATGACAACATTTCACTGACTGGTGTGATTTAAATTATTGGAGATTCAATTAATGCTATTTTACGATCATTTGACAAAAGAATCACAATCCTATTGTTAATATGAAACAGTTAGGTAGCTGGATAGAATTGGAGCCTTCCAACATATTCCATGGCACCCAAAAACCAATATTTAGAGCAGCTCTCTTCTTAAGAATCATAGCTTCAAGCCAAAAAAACACCACATCCTAACAATGTTTTATAAGCGTTTGTAGAAAGCCCACGCCTTAATACATGCTATTCATCAGGATTCAGGACTAGAGACTGACATGAAGCATCATGGCCTATTTAAAATGACAAAGATTAATGTAAAAAGAGCTCACGGCCACACCCTTTGATACAGAATATCAAGTTCAAGTTCGAAAGAAGACCATCACCATTTTATACTTTACCATTCAGAAGTATAGACAAAGCCAAACACCATGTATTCAATAAAGACGATAATTTCCCCAACCCTCTCCCTCAGCGTGCTTCATATTGAACAACTGCAACAACGAGACAAGAGATCAATCACAGCAAGAAAAACAAATAGAAGAAACATCTGTAAAAAAATAATGAATCTGAATTTTGTTTTTTTTTTTTTAGAGAGAGAATGAGTAACTGATTGTATAAAGTAATCAACAGGAGTACCTGAAATGATGTACAAACTAYAAAGTAAACAAGCCAAACACAAGGGTTAATTTAGGGCCCTGGAGTGCTGTTTTCCTGTATAGGTAGCTCCAACCTCCAAGATTTATCCTCTTTTATTTACTTATTTAATAGCTTCTATCTCCCTAATAAATAAAGGAGTCAACAAAAAATTTGAACAACCATTTGTCCATTTGATTAAGAATAGAAAGTAAACCTTCTCTACCTCTAGTATTTTGGTAGGACCCTACCTCTAGTTGGGTAGGGATCATATTCTGTCCAGTGTCCTCCCGTTTAGGAAGAGACATGTCCAATTACACAAACCCCCACCTTAAATGTCCATCCTTTAAAATTAAAGAATTATAAGAACCGAAACAAAAATCAAGATCAGAAGTTTCCAATTTTGTCCCGCCTCTTCCCAATAATGTCCTCTCTCTCTCTCTCTCTCTAACGAATGTTTTTTTGCTCTCCTAATATCATCTTCTTGACAGTCCAACAGAACCAAACTCCACTTGCTTCTATCCCAACCCCAAGGCCTCTTCATTCAACATATTGGTGGCAACCAACTCCTGAAGCACGCATAGAGGACAGATTCATCTAGACAAATGTCAAATCATCTCAAAATGTCAGCTGTCATCAGGTGAGATGGAGATTAGCTCAGCTCATTCATCAGATTTGGCACCACTGGAGAGAGAGAGAGAGATTATGGGCAGGAGATAGATGGGGGCTCACATTTATTTCATACATGATATAAGAATGCTTGCTTTTAGGGATAGGTGACTCTCCCTGAATAGGAGAATACCTAGATGGCCAGAGTGGAAAGACAAAAGATCCCATCTCCTCTAGATATGTATACAGGAAACCTTTCCGTTGTCTCTCATGGCCACTGCCAGTAATGCATTAAATACATAAGGTACTTTTTCAATCAAATTTATGTTTATAAACATACATAGACCACACCCAAATGCATATGTATACAGGAAACCTTTAGGTTGTCTATCTCATGGACATTATCAGTTATACATTAAATACATAAGGTACTTTTTCAATCAAATTTGTGTTATAGACACACATAGATAGACACACCCACATGAATGACAAAAGATCCCATCTCTTCCAGCATATGTATACAGGAAACCTTTAGGTTGTCTATCTCATGGACATTATCAGTTAATCATTAAAAACATAAGGTGCTTCTTCAATCAAATTTATGTGTTTATAAACACAAATAGACAGACACACCCACATTCACGAGTATGTCAGATGCATCAAATGCCTCAGGATTGTCTTCTTCCCCCAATTTACATGGGATTAATAAAAGCAAGTCATTAAAATACTAGAACTGTAATTTACAGTTCTATATTTTCCTAAAGCAAGTCATCAGATTGCAAAAGTAACACTGAAGCACTTGCTTCCTATATAAACATGCACACCACATGTATGTCAGACACATTAAACACCTTCTGGTTTCTGTACACCACTCCATAAACTAACACTCAATGTATTTTAGATACATGGGTGCGAAAATGGTGTTTCTGTTAAAGTTGCTTAGGTACCAGACAGTTCTAAGAACAAATTAAGCGTATATAGGAACATGACTATGACTATATGCAACCAATAAGTTTGGTGTTTCAGTTTTTTTCTGTCTATCCTTCTTTCTAGTTCTTTTTGACCCCATAAAAAGCTAGCAAAGCCCTGAATATAGGACACGCCCAAGCTCCAATTCAAAATAATACAAAATAGTAGGCTCCAACATCTATCCATCTACAATTCCATTATCCACACGAACACATTCAGCAGGGCACAACCAACGGTAAATTGAAATAGGATTAGTAACACCAAAATAAGATAAATTCTTCTAATAACTCAGTTAAATGATTGATAAACAACAACTCGGTTAAATCCATTCAATACTATGGCGTCCGTTTGTCTTAACTTAAAACAAAATAATTAATTAAAATAAACTGTTAGCAGGATGAATTACTTCTCCGGGTTCGCTTCTTGTACAAGATGCGGTAACCACATTCCCGGCACTGAATCACATCACCCGGCTTCAAGGTGTTCTCCATCCCGCAATCTAAACACCGAAAATATCAATAAGCCGTCAATCAAAACTTCACACAAGCAAACAATAGGAATCCCAGAGCCTGGAGAGAGAGAGAGAGAGAATAATCTTACCTCCACAGATGTAGCTGACTGGTTCAGGTTGTGGATCCATGGATGAAGAATGAAACTAAGATTTCTGCACTGAAATTAACATAAAAAAATAGGAAATTTTGAAGCAAAAAAGGTAATAGATCATAAAACGTGGAACTAGAGTTTTGTCAAATTCGAAGAATTAGGGTTTTAGAGAATCGATTTCGTTTATTTACCTTAATAGATGTGGATACAGCGAGAGAAAACGAGGTTTAGGACGGGTGGGGTTTTGGAAGAAACGGAGAGAGAGAGAGAGAGAGAGAGTGTGTATTTTGACTCGCAAAACAATGAAAAAATTGTGTTTGGTTGCAGGGCAATCTAGTATAAATGTATGGAGTACAAAATGAAAAGAATGCAAATTCTGGTGTAATCTTATTTCTGATTTAACTTCATTCTGTTTTAGGTCTTATTTTACCTCATTTGTATTACAGTCAAATAAAATAATGTAAWTTTTGAAATAAAATAAATCAGAATTTGCATCGAAATCATTTGTAGTACCTTAATTTTGCTTTAGTGCAAATTTATTTGCAATGAAAYTGATGTAACGGTTTCTGGTCACGTATCATTTTTTTGTGCTATCGTCATTTGGTCTGCTTCCAAGTGGCCGATGACTCAGAGGCCGAAGTGGAGAACTTTTGCTGGATGAGCTGGGCAGGCTAGGTGACAAGCTAACTATAGTGTCGATCTGCCTATGAGGTGCCGAGCTGCCTGTGAGGTGTCGGGCTGACCAGGTGGCGAGCTGCCTGTGAGGTGTCGGGCTGACCAGGTGGCGAGCTGCCTATGAGGTGCCGAGCTGCCTGTGAGGTGTCGGGCTGACCAGGTGGCGAGCTGCCTGTGAGGTGTCGGGCTGACCAGGTGGCGAGCTGCCTGTGAGGTGTCGGGCTGACCAGGTGGCGAGCTGCCTGTGAGGTGTCGGGCTGACCAGGTGGCGAGCTGCCTGTGAGGCGCCAGGCTGACTAGGTGCAGGGCAGCCTGTGAGATGCCGAGCTAGATTGATGAGCTTCGTTGCTCTTTAGAGACCTGCAAGGAACCAAATGTCAGAGGACCCGGGGTGGTTAACCCGGCGAGGTCGCTCCGATGCTTAAGTCAGTACTCTCATAGTAGACCGCGAGATAAAAATCACAAAGTTTGAGAGCTAGAACTTGCTTACTTGCTTCTCCCCTCGCTTCTGGGGTTGGTGCCTTTATATAGGCATTATTTGGTATGGGCTTCACGCACCATATCCGAGATTTTTGTGAGGTTGTCTAAGTGATTCGAAATTCCTGGAGGTAACCGCCATGCACGTTGACCACCCTCTAGGTCGTTCGGCACTTGGGCCAACTTCCAAGGATTGTGGGAGTGTTAGGATATGCATGCCAAATTTGTCAGCGAGCAGGTCTCGTAGGTCGCCAAGTCGGCGCATGTGCCAGGTCGGTGCTTGAGCCAGGCCGCCAGGTTGGACACCATCAACTTGGCAAGTTGTTGCCTGAGTGGTTCCGGGTGTCACTTAGTTGTTCTGAGGTGCCRTGTCACAATGTCATTGGAGGGCCAAATCCACCCTCATCATTTGCCCCCCACTCCCGAGCTGAAAGTAACTCGGCGAAGGGAGTAGATTTCTCCTTTTGGCCCGAAATGAATAATTCGATGAGCTCGTAAGCGTCGATTCAATTCCTTAGGCTTTGGGAGCGACTCGYAGTCCGCTCCTTGATTTTGCGCATGCCGAAGAGGCGATTGGGTCTTATATGGTGAGGAGGTCTTCGCTAGTTTGATATTTTGGCCCTTAGGCTCTAGGAGCGACTCGTAGTCCACTCTCCTTGATTTTGCCCATGCCGAAGAGGCCACTGGGTCTTATATGGTATCGAGGTCTTCGCCAGTTCGGTACTTTAGTGCTATGGCTGCACTGCATTAGCCTCGTGACGCCGGCCACCCACTCCTACAAGAAGCTACTAGGAGCTCGACCTACGGAGGCAGCACTACTGACTTTAGGTCGCCAGCTCGCACGGGAGCCTTGGAARGCTCGACCAACAAGGGCGTCCATGTAGTCTGTTGGCCGCCAACTCCCGTGGAAGCCACGAAGAGTTCATCTCTGTAGAGGGGACCTCGCGAAGAGGACTGATGARGCTTTATCGAAGTTAAAATAAAGTTGGTAGAGTTGCTTAGTCTGTTAGTTATCAACTTCCTGCATAGTCTTTAAGTTCATAAAAAATGGAAACTATAAAGCGAGAGCTTTAGTTTCTAAAAAGTGAGGACTTAGCTTTTTGGAAGAAGAGGACTTAACCTTTTAGAGGATGAGAAAGCTTTTTGTAGCATTTCCCATAAACGGCGCCAATTGATGTGACGTTTTTGGTCACGTATCATTTTTTTGTGCTAAGTACCTCGTCATTTGGTCTGCTTCCAAGTGGCCGATGACTTAGAGGCCGAAGTGGAGAACTTTTGTTGGATGAGCTAGGCAGGCTAGGTGGCGAGTTGACTATAGTGCCGAGTTGCCTGTGAGGTGTCGGGCTGACCAGGTGGCGAGCTGCCTGTGAGGTGCCGAGCTGCTTGTGAGGCGCCGAGCTGCCTAGGTGCCCAGCTGCTTGTGAGGTGCTGGGCTGACCAGGTGCAGGGCGGCCTGTGAGATGCTGGGCTGACCAGGTGGCGAGCTGCCTATGAGGTGCCGGGCTGACCAGGTGTAGAGCAGCCTGTGAGATGTCGAGCTGGATTGATGAGCTTCGTTGCTCTTTAGAGACCTGCAAGGAACCAAATGTCAGAGGACCTAGGGTGGCTAACCCGGCGAGGTCGCTCCGATGCTTAAGTCAGTACTCTCATAGTAGACTACGAGCTAAAAATCACAAAGTCTAAGAGCTAGAACTTGCTTACTTGCTTGCTCCCCTCGCTTCTGGGGTTGGTGCCTTTATATAGGCATTATTTGGCATGGGCTTCATGCACCATATCCGAGATTTTTGCGAGGTCGTCTTAGTGGTTCGAGATTCTTGGAGGTAACCGCCATGCATGTTGCCACCCTCCAGGTCGTTCGGCACGTGGACCAACTTCCAAGGATTGTGGGAGTGTTAGGATATGCATGCCAAATTTGTCGGTGAGCACGTCTCACAGGTCGCTAGTTGGACACCATCAACTTAGCAAGTTGTTGCCTGAGTGGTTCCGGGTGTTACCTAGTTGTTCTGAGGTGCCATGTGTCACAATGTCATAGGAGGGCCAAATCCACCCTCATCAGAAACCAAACACAATCTTACTCGAAAATATGGATAAAAACAGATGGAACTGATTTCGATATCCAAATTTGATTCAACAAAAAAAAAATCAGTTTGATATCTGATGGACAAATTCATCATTAACTAATCAATTTAAAAATAAATAAATAAATAAACAAAAAAGGACCCATGTATCCTAAATTAACTTGAATCCATGGAACATTCCATAAAAGTCTGTTTGCTAAGAAGGTAAATTTGTCTATGTAAAACTAACTTAATTTTACAATTTATCTGGACTGTTTTACACTCTACGTATTTGCATTCACACTTATTTACATTGTTTCTAAACACAACTTTAGGTGTAAATTCAATTTTACACGGATGAAAAATGTGACCCCAGTTTAGTGATTGATGGAAAATGGAACCAGAGGGTGTTATAGAATTTTTCTCATGTCGTTTAGTTGTTACAGTGTAAAAGTGAAAGGTTTTCCGCCTGTCGGATCCAATTGGATTCAGAAGATAATTTGGTGTTGGTCTTTGTCATCCTCTCCTTGATCTGTCCGAGCTCTAACGCCAAAAACCCACCACAGTGTGGGCAATAGAAGGTGAATGAAATCGGGAAGCACGGCTAGAGGAGCTAGGAGTGCAGTGGTGATCGGTCTAGAAAATGGGAAATTTGCAGCTGATCTACATTGAAGAAGGGGTAGTGAGGGTGGTGCCTAAAGGGAGTGAGAGGCTCATGTGGGTCGTAAATGGAGACCTGGTTTGGTACCCTAAATGGTTCGAGGCTGATCATCGGCCAAGCCGACGGAATGTCTAGTTCGACCTCGGCTGCGACGTCCTCAAGGGTCAGCACTGGGATCCTTTTTGTGAGAGCCTGGAGAGCGCAAATGGAGTCTATTTCGGTAAAGATAACACAAGAACCAAGTTGATTAACGGCAGCAGCACAACCCTTGCTGACATTTCCGTACCCGCAGATAACCGCTACCTTGCCGACAATCATCACGGAACAGAACAATTAGATAGGGGAAGAACCAAAGTTAATTGCAAGATCAGAACAATTAACCACGAATTTGGATTATCACAAGCAATCTTTTATGGTTATTATGATTTTGATATTAAAACCAGAAACTCAGATCTAGCAGATTTTGGAATGGCCATATCTTGAACTTAGGTCACCTAGTTAAACAGATAGAGAAGAGCGTTGCAGGACAAAGAGGAGCGAAGCTTGTTATTTTGGTTGTTGGACGGAGAAGACGCAGGACAGAGGAACGAAGCTTGTTCTTTTGGCTGTTAGATGGAGGAAACGTTAAGGGCAAAGAGGAAAGAAGCTTGTTCTTGCAAATGCAAGAGGAGACCATTGGACGGAGAAGAAGGGAAACTTTCCATTCATTTTCGATGGAAATATAACACCTCTACCAAATGCATGCAAAATTAGACCGGGGTGTAAATTTACCCTGGTTCCTCAAACAAATGCAGCCTAAGGCTATATTTGGTTTGAAKGAAAAGGTAAGGAAAGGAAGGAAAAGATGGGGAACCTATACAAGGTTTATAAATGTTTCTCTACCTTTCCCTTCCTTTCCCTGCATTTTCCTTCAAACTAAACATAGCCTAAAAATTTAACCCATAACTGATGATCCTGATTCAAAAAATCCCAAACTAGTTTAAGTTGAAAGGCACGATTCATATCACAAGCTTTTTTCAAACCAAGACCCCCATAACTTATGGGAGAACAAATTAAATCCTAATTAACCCTGGCAAAACCCTTATTAGATTTCCCAAAATTTCCTTTGAATTTTATCTATCTTCTCATTCACACAGTATTTGGGATTTTAAACATAGACATAACATGATTGGGAATTGATTGAAGAGTAGATTTCAAAAGAACCAGTTTACCCTCCTGAGATAAATTAGAAGCCTTCCAACCATTCAGCTTACCTTGGAATTTATCCAAAATAAAAGAAGGAGAATCCTTCATACTCTTTTTCCATATTAAAGGAACACCCAAGTATTTCAAATGAAAATCTAAATTTCCCATTCTCAACTGTCTACAAAGCAATTTCCTACAATGATGATGAACATTTTTACTAAAAAAATACACCTGACTTCTAACAGTTAATAGCTTGTCCTAATAAATCCTGAAATTTATCAATAACATCCATAAGATTAACTATTTCTTCTCTAGAAGTTCTCACAAAAAGAAAAACATCATTAGCAAAAAGATGAGAAATAGAAGGAGCAGTTCAAGCAATTTTAGCACCATGAATTCTACTAGCCACTTCCTTTCTACGTAAAAATCTAGACAAAACTTTCATACTTAAAATAATTAAACAAGGAGAAAGAGGATCACCCTGCCTTAACCCTTGACTAGGATTAATACAACCCTTATGAGAACCATTAATCAGAATAGAATAAGAAACTGTAAAAATACAAAAAAAAATGAATCATTAGACAGAAACCCTCAAGAAACCCATAGCCTCCAAGACCCTAATAATAAAATCCCAACTAATAAGATCATTTGCCTTCACCATATCAATCTTAATAGCTACATAACCAGAACCTTTTTTACACTTCTTCATGAAATGTGAAATTTCCTAAGCAATAATTACATTGTCCATCAGATGATGCCCCGGAACAAAAGCATTCTGATAGAGAGAAATCACTTTTTCAAGTAAAGGTTAAGACAATTGGCAATCAACTTAGCCAAAATTTTATAAATACCATTACAAAGACTAATGGGCCCGAAATCCTTAATAGAAGAAGCATTATTTTTTTTGGAATTAAAGTAATAAAAGTATGATTAAAGCACTTTACAAATTTATTTATTCACAAAAAAAAAAAAAAAATCTTTAACATAATCAACAATATCATCCTTCATATTATCCTAGAAAAATTTGTACACAACCATCTGGTCCTGAAACTTTCAAATTTCCCATACTAAGGAGGGCACTTCTAACTTTCTATTCATCTGGGATGCTAATTAGATTATTATCCTCTTCCTTAGAAATAATTGGTGGAAAAGGATAAAAACTGCTATTCAAACTATGGCACAGAGGAGAAGAGTACAAGTCATCAAAATAATCTAAGAAGGCTTGAGTTATTTCCTCCTGATTGCTACTTTGGTTACCATTATCTCACCGGATCCAATCAATCCAATTCCTATGTTGCCTAATAGAAGTAGCCCCATGAAATAACTAAGTATTACAATCACCTTCCTCTAACCATAATTGCCTTGAATTTTGTCTCAATAAGATTATTGAAATAAAAGAAATGTGTGTTCTTCTACTTTCTAATTTCAAAAGATGGTCTCTCATATCCATATCACTTGCTATTCCTTCTAAATTCAGAATCTCTTCCTCAACTTCCCTCAAATGCTCATTTGTATTGCCAAAATTATGCCAATTCCAATATCTAATATCCTTCTTGATACGATTTAGCTTAATGACAATTCTATAGGCTGCATTCATTAATTGAAAAATTCCAAGCACTTTTAATAACTTGATCACACCCTTCAGCCCTCAACCACATATTAAAGAAACGAAAAGGTTTTGGTTTGGCCTTCCTATTCCCATTGAGATCAACCATCACCAAATGATGACCAAAGCCCCAATTAGGGCCCCGAATGGCAGATGCATAATTGAAAATCGAAAACCAAGACAGAGAAGCAAAAAACTCTATCTAGAGAGAACGAGAAAGATTATCAAGACCTCTAACAAATCTAAGTATGTGTTTGGAACCGTGGACGTTTTTTCATTCAACGTTTGTACTTTATTTACTTGCAAAACTGAAAACGGTAATAATTACATCCGTTTATGACAACTAAGTGCCACTAGACATCACATCAACATAACAGTGAAAAAATGCCTAATCATTGGGGGAAGCTTTAAAAAATAACTTCCCCAAATGGTAAGCATGCACAGAAACTGAAATCACCTTTTGCTATTTTCGATACGTATGGAAGAGCATAAGAAGGGAAAGTGTAAGCATTTATTGAATAAATGCCCACGATTCCACCTCCTCCCTTAGACACCATTTGGAAGGAGTACAAATACAAATATGTACAGTACAAATAAATAGAAAATAATACAATATACAAAATTTTGCCATCTACATATTTGTATTAATATGTATTCTTTTCAAACTGAGCTTTAGGAAAAATCTCGTTAAGGTCAAATCTTGGACCAAAGTTAGCAAATTGGGTAGAGTTGCGGAGAATGAAAGAAAGAGGAAAGTGTAATATAAATATAATACATATATAATTTAAATATACAATAACTAATACAAATATAATATGTAATATAGATATAATATAATATATTATATACAATTATTTAATGGATTGGATCGGCTTATATCCGAATTCAGACCTGATGCGCGAGTCGGGCCGAAATGAGCTTGCATATAAAAGGTAGTCTAGGCCCAGCCCGGCCCGGCCCATGATTATTCGACACTGTCTCCCATCCGACATCCGTTAAGGCGTTAATAAGAAGAAAAGACAGAAGGTAACAACAGAGATAATGACGATGGAAAAACTCAGAAGCATGGGCGGCGACTTCTACCTCCTACTTTGAAGCATCTTTACATCGGGAGATAACGCCAACGCTGCCTTGCTCGAAGCGACCATGAAAGGAAATGGTGAAATACTGGGATCTACTTAATATTTGCTTCTTTTAGCATATATTTACTTGTTTATATTTTGAATTATCTTCCTTCTTTTCTATCCCTCTCTTCCTATTCTTCCTTAATGGGGTTTCGTATTCAAATGTTGATCAGTTTCTTGCGGACAAGAGATTGATAATCAGATAATTTAAGTAGAAAATATGTTTTCCATTTCAGTTGGTCTTGTGAATCTTCCCTTCATATAACTTGGCTTTATAGAAGTTGTCTTTGCTGCCCTAACTTTGTGATTTTGAATTTACTTTTTCTTTTAAATTGCAAAGTTTTTCCGTCTTTCTGAAAGCTAACTTCTTTAATAATTAGACTATTTCAAACAATGAAAGTGGTAATGTTAATTATGGGGAAAACACAAACTTCATGACTTTGTCCTTCCTCAATTTAACCAGTCAAGCCAAAGAGAATGCTAAAGGCTCATCAAGAATGTATTCAATTGGGTTCCTCTCAGAAATTTCATAAGGTTGTTACATTGTTAACATTTTATGATGTCTAGATGGTGATGGATTTTTCTAAAAGTGGAATAAACCTAACTCCGCAAGCCATTTGTCGAATAATTGGAAAAAGCAGTATTTGAGAATGTTTGATCACAAGATCTGACCAAGTATCATATTCTAGTTCATATTTATAGGTTGCATTTTTTTTTACATGCATCAGTTGACAGAGCCCATTTAGCCCTTTTTTGCCTTATATACAATAGGCATACACAACTTGTCAAAACTCGAAAATAAAATCTTAGATTTCGATGAAACATCAGTCCTAAATTTCTCCTCCATGGTTTTCCATTGAGGTGAGTTCTTTTGGTTATAGTTGCAAATATTATTTACTTTGATAAAGGAATATAGTTGAGCCAGTTCCAGTTTGATGCTTCTTGTTCATTGCTCTCTCTTATTTGGGTAACTCATCTATGGAGCATTTGGCTATCTGATTTTGCACATGAAGTATTGTAGTTGGAATAAATTGCAGGCATGCCCTTGTGTTCTTTCAGTAAGATTCTGTGTCTGTTGTGAAATTAACATTGTCTGAAGTTTGGGGTCCTGGTTTCAGATTTGACCTTATGATGCAGTTCCATTGGAAATCCTACTGGTGGAGGTCTAGAGGCAAAGATTATCTATTTCTTATGGAAGAATTTCTGCAGGTGAATGCATCCTTGTTGTAGAATTTGGATGCTCCCCAAGGAGCATGTAATACCAGAAATGTTTTTATTTCCTTTATAGAACATGACACTTCAGATTTCAAAATCCATTTCTATTGTTTTGGGAGGAGGATGTTCAGAAAATATGCATATTTATGAGATTTGTTGATATACTAATGGCATCCATGTATCTCTTCAGTTCTACAGGTACAAGGACAGTATGAAGTAATGATGTAATGAGGAAGAAAGGAGCTTTAATATAAAGCAACTTACCAACAAATTGCCCATCTCTTTTTAAACATAGGGACATAGTGGTTCCTTTGTTTTCTCAATAATTAGTGATTTTATTGAAACAGAAGATATTTCCACACTCACCACCACTGCATCGACAACTATTGAACCTTTGTCTAGGATTGGACATCAGATACCTTACCATATAGGGTTGTCACATGTTGATATCTCCAGTTAAAAGTTGATCAAATGAGTAAATTGGAAACTTCTCCTTCATTGGACAACAATAATTGGATTGAGATTCAGGAGTCCCTGAGGAGGAGATTAATTCTTAAGGATGATTTCACTTGGAGAGTTCCCACACAAAGAAATGAGCCAGATGAGAATTGTGGGGTTGAAAACTTAAAATATGTTGGAGGAGTCGATTTGAGTTTCTCAAAAGATGACCCTTCTGTAGCGTGTGGTGCCCTTGTTGTTCTGGATCTTAGTAATTTGAATGTTGTCTATGATGATTTCAGTGTAGTCCAGCTTAAGATTCCATATATTCCTGGGTTCCTTGCATTTAGAGAGGTTCCAGTTCTTCTACAGCTTTTGGAGAAAATGAAGGAAAATACCCATCCATTTTACCCACAATTGTTGATGGTCGATGGCAATGGATTGCTTCATCCTCGAGGCTTTGGTTTGGCTTGCCATCTTGGAGTTATAGCTAATATACCTACAATTGGAATAGGAAAAAATTTGCATAATGTTGATGGTCTAACCCAATCTGGAGTGAGACGACTTCTAGAAGCAGAACAAAATTGTGCTAGAGATTTGATTACTCTGACTGGACACTCTGGACGTGTATGGGGAGCAGCAATGCGATCAACCCTGGGTTCCTATAAACCCATATTTGTATCAATTGGCCACCGTATATCACTTGATACAGCCATCAAGGTTGTTAAAATGACCTGTAAGTACCGGGTGCCAGAGTCTATCAGACAAGCAGACATGAGATCAAGAGACTACCTCCAGAAACACATGTAATTTGCTGAAGTAATGCAACTTTGATAAACTGGTACATCTGATTTTTAGGCTTTCAACAATATAGGTTGTAAACTACTACCCGATTGAAGGAATCTGCTAAGGTGCCCATTTGCAATTTGTATGCATTGTATCAGTTGCAGAGAGGTGGCCTTTCATTTGAATCTGCAATAATGAAACTCTTTTGTTGCTTTTTCAAGCTCACTTGCCATTTTCTTTGGATGGATTCTCAGTGCTATGATTTAGGTGTTGACCTTTCACTTGAAGCTTCAATGATGAAACTCTATTATTCCTTTTTCAAGTTCACTTGCCATTTTCTGGGGCTATGGATTAAGTACACTGTGATTCTCTTTCCACCGATTATTAAGATTTAAGAAGGAAACTCTTTGCAGGGAGTGCCTATGGGTCTCATGATGTCATGGAAGGAATTGTTTGAACAATTTGGCCAGTCAATCTGCTCATGCTATGGTCCAATTTGCTGAAAAGTCTTCTTTTGATATTAGCTAGGAGGCCACCCAAATTTTGGACTCTGACAATGTACCTTCTGCTCTTTAATGAATTAGTTTGTTTATCCATCAAAAAGAAAAAAAGCCAAGATGTTTTGTCCTTTATGACAAAATCTATGCAACAGGAGGAAGCATGAAAGTAGTAAAAAGTTAGATGATTTCAGTGTCCTATTCTCTGTAGGTTTGTTGGAGGCATGAAGGGTCTTCTCCACTGTAAATACTGTAATATTCAGAGCTTAGATGCATTTAGTATGTAAGGTTCAAGGTCTAGACTCTATACTAGTCATGAAGCTGTATTGGTCAATAAAATTGGATTTTTAACTTCTACATCACATTTGAAAGATATGCCCATGTATATTATATTTAATTTTTTATTCTTTTACACGGACTTTGTTTGACTCTTCTTCACAAGCCGTCCATTTCATTAAAGTTCAATTTGCAACTTGAATCCTGTAGGGAATAACCCTTTTCTTCTTCTTTGATGTCATACCACTTTAATGGGACTGAGCTTTCCTTGACCATTGATCCAATTGTTCAGGCCACCCTTTAAGGCCATTGCCCATGTTGGAAGGTCAAACACCTCTTCAACCAAGCCCCTTTAGTGATGGGACCACACAATAAGTGGCAAATGAGCACTCATTGGTGTTTGGCAAAAAAAAATGACCCAATAAGTGTTCATTTTGTAAATAAATACTTAAAAAAAAAGCAACCAAGGGGCTACTTATTTTAAGTATTTATTTACTAGCGAGGGGCGCCCGAGCTTAGCACGGGCAATGAATATCGAATTGATGCAATTGTAAAAAACTAAGAAGAAAAAAACAAAGATAGTTATAGCGAGAGCACTATAACTTAATTAATGGCATAAGTGCAAAGGTTTTACAGCCATTTAATTGTGGATAATGCATCATGCTTGAACTACAAAAGCAAATTACGGTTTTAATTGTTTGAATTGTTAATAAAAATAAACAAACTATTCAATTCAGATAGTAGTGAGTTTGTAAATGAGTGCAAAAAAGTTTTGGATCGCAGATAATTTCTTGGTGCTAAGGTTTGATGCATTTGCACCCCGAACTACTTCCGCCAGCACAAAACTTCCTACATGAACCAGCAATTGTTGCAAGCATAATTCTCATCAACTTGAACAACTTTTTTCTTACAAGTGGACTACATTTATTTGCATAACTATGAGTATATATACAAACTTATATCTTTAATTATTATTTATATATATATATATATATATATAAGTGACATACCTATTGTAGTATAGAAGAGACATCTGCTCCACTTGGAGCTATTAGACTATTGAATTCAGCAATGGTAGCTGGCTTTGCTGATCCCACTAGATGAGAAGACAACCTAATGTTCTTGTAGTGCTGTATTGTGCTTTGCAAGGTATCGTTTTGTTTAGCCCTATACCCATGAAGTTATTGGTCAAAATGACATCAAATAGGAAAAGAAACTCCTTGACAAGGTCTCTAAGTAGTGTTTGTCCAGACTAGTTAACTATATGCCCTTAATGAAAATTATAATTATCTTAAGTAAACTCAATTCTCTCCATCTTTCTGTAGATGCAATCTAGCCATGTGAGCTGTTCCTCCAAGTCTTCCTAACCCTGGTCAATAAGCTCAAAAAGAAGAGCTGAAATGGCTAATTTATATGTTGCTGGAACTGCTAATTTCTTAGGGTTGAAGGTGCTTCCCCCTCTCCCTATATCCTTTTCTGGGGCTGCAAGCAGATGGAATATAATTGGATTTGCCTATGTATAACCCCCCAGAAAAAAAAAGGAACTGGATATGGATATGCTTAGTTCCATATTTGACACTCTTATCTGTCAGATTCAGACCGAATATAGTTGAGTGGGGGAAGAGGAAAAAAAATGGGTTTTAGCTTTTGGGATGCTTGTTGTTTTGATGTGAGCCAAGGCAAGTATTGGGATGCTTGGATCAGATTGTGATCGAATCATAAATGGATTGAATTTGTATTCAAATTCTGACAGATGGACATTATTGCAGCCCTATCCCTTGCCAGTATGTCAAAGAAAATTCTGACAGATGGCCCCACATGTATATAAAAAAGAAAATTTTGTTAAAAGAGAAACAAACTGGTTTGGTTATCCCCACCACAAAGTATGTCAAAGCAAAATTGATAAGAGATTTAATTTATCTTTTTTTATCAACTCCTTGCTATAATAGTTGGGAATTGATATTAAACATATAATAGTTGGAAATCCAAAATACATAAAATGTGTAACTATTTTGTTCCTTTCTACCCTAGTCCACCAGAAGAGAGTACAACCCCTCTACCTTTTCCTTATTTCCCCCCTTTATCAAATAAAACACTACATCTCAAAATTGCTTCATACAAGACATGAGACTATAAACATTGCACTGATCAGCAGGCATGCTTTTAGCAAAATATCTCTAAGGATGCTCCCTCTTAGTTCATTTAAAACTGGTCAGCCCCGAATGCAGCAGGTGCAAAAAATTGGATTGTATGTTGGGAGATCCCTTGGACTGATATCAGTCCCCAAACTAAAAACTAAGCTGACATGCTATTGCTATGCTAATGCTAGAGTGGGTTGAGATGGTAGAGGAGAGCCAGAYTTAAGGGAGTTTACATTGGGAGATGTTTCCAATACACGGTCGGGATGTGCTATGGGGTGCCCGTACGCCGTACGCCAATGCAAATTCGACTTAGGGATTAATATGGTTCTGCCATGGGGCTAATATGATGCCAAGAAGTGCAAACCTAAAAGACTAATATACTGCTGTGACATAGATACCAGATTGGRCTGATGTGAGTTTTAAAAAAATGCATGCTACTGTAAGATTGAACCAAAACTGGGCTGAAATGGTATCAAAACAATGCATACCTATAAAGCTACATGTTTCAACAGCAAGGATCCTGAATTGGGCTGAAATGATGCCAAAACAAAAATGCAGGCTGATCCAAATTTGTAGAATGATTCTTGCTATATGTGAAACCATGCCAAGAAGTGCAAACAAAAAAAAAAATGAAGAAAAGCTGTTTTGAGATTTTGATATGCAACAGTTTAGAGTACACTTTCCTTGGATATTATCAAGGAAAGCCTTCAGTCATGTGGGTTTGACCCCACGAGTCTGGATCTAGTCCCAACGGTCATTTATTGGATAGAATAGTACACTTGGGCAAACAGCTCGTGGGCATGACCCTCAAGGTGCTCACATTTGTATGAGCAATACATATAGTTCAAATAGTTCACATCCTCTATATGCATTGCATAATATTGTTTGAGCCTCCTTATAGCATTCTGGCAGGCATATTGTTGGGCCTCTGCAATAGTAGGGTTGGGCCCCCCAGTGAAGGTCCATTTCTCATCATGAACAGTAAGTGCAAGGCTAGTGTTATAGGCACGTTCATCATTTTCCACCAAGTACATGGGCTTAGGAATCCCGAGGAATCGAAGCAAACCTCTCAGGACACTTTTAAAATAAATAGGGAAAACAATGTCATCCTGACAATCCATATTTGCAAAAAATGTGTAGTAAGATTACATCATAGAAAGAGGCTTATAGCATTGAAGGCACACATTTGCCATAATCCTACCCGCTGACTCATGGTCTAGATTCACATCTCCTATAAGTGTTGTAGTTTGAGAGAAACCCACGTCAACGGTAGAAAGACGAGAGAATCTCACTGAACCGTTCAATCTAGAATTAATTAATGTATAAGTTTATGGGTAAATGTATGATGGTAGAATACCATAAGAGTTTTGACCAATCTTGTGAATTTTTTATGAACAACACCAGATTGGTTATTATCATGATTATGTTGGTATGTCAAAGGTTCTCGTAAAGAAGGAAGAGGAAGAGTCTGATTTGACGCCTCTTCAAGAAGTAGATGAGAGAGGGAAAAGAGAAAACAAAAATATCCTCCGTTTGTTTGTTACTTGTGCTAGTTTCACGGTTGATTGAAATTTTCTGTTAGTCTTTTTAATTATTTGGTCTGTTTGATAATAATAATAATAAGAGCAAAAAAGTAGAGGAATTGAAATAAGATATAAAAAATAATTTAATCCTAAACATCGTTAGTTTTTAGCATCTTGTTTAAAGTAATCTGACATGGCATTCTAGAGTGACGTGGACAACAGACACTTGAGTCCTTCGCTGAAGGAGGGAAGATGATGAAACCTTGAGGACGTTGAAGAAGGAAGGTAAATGGAGTGGAGACTCAGGATCAATAAAACCAGGTATTGATTTGGATAAATAAAGAAGGCCATCAAATTAAAACAATGCACGCTACTGTTTTTACCGTAGCCAATTTTTCTTTTGGAAAGCCCTAATAATACAATCGCTTTATGTTTTCTTCTGAGGTAGCTTAACCAGATCTTCAGAATTAGGCTTAGGCCTACTAAGTCTCCAAAGAAGTTGTACCAAATGATAAGGATCAAGTACAAGTTTCAATGTATATAAAAGACACAATAAGAAGTAAAATAGCAATTCAGAATCCCTAACTTGGCGGTGTGGTGATGAAGATCAGTATCAATAATATAAAAATAGTGATAAAAAAATATGAAAACTCTAATTACAACAATGGCACATTATGAAAGGAAACAAGACAAATAATACTAAAAAATAACCTAACCTCTTTGAGGATGGAACGAAAACCTTGAGGTTAATGGTTAGAAGCTGAAAACAAGAACAAAAACGGTGAGAAGAAAATAAAGAATAAAGCTAATAAACAAAAAAAGATAAAGAATCAATCACCTGGAGGATGCAAAATAGGAAAATGCTAGGCAGAAGACACCAAAAGATTGCACATGCACATTAACCATTGGATTAAATGTATGCACATGCACATTGACCGTTAGACAAAAATGCTTGAGTAGCCGTTGGATTTTGATTGGCAGAATACACCAAACACATCTACACGTGTGAATTTCGCACGTGTAGATGCTTCTTTCCAGCACCAGAAGCGGCCACGTCACCCCTTTTTATGCCCCATGCACTTTAATAATATATATATATATATATATATATATATATATATATATATATATATATATATATGATATAAGATATAAGATTCCAAAATTTTGGGACAAAACTGTTCCCATCGTTTTCTCAAAATCTCATCGAGCCTCTTCTCCATTTGTGCTCCAACACGAACTAGCGGTGGCAACAAGTTACTCCGGGTTGAGAAATCGTTTCAGGTACTTGAATCTCCTCTCTTTTTCTTCATTCTTGTTCATTTTAGGCAATTCTTCATGGCTATATTTGTCATTCCTGAAAATATAATTACTTATTGGATAAGTGATTCACCAAACACTGAAACCCAAATAAATACTTAA